ACACACATCAACTTCGTAACAAACCCTTTTTCAGAAAGGTTATGGCAAAATATAGCATATAGCCCAAGAGACTTTTGAATATTTATTTCCCTAATGTAAATACCTTGAACTAATATACCTAAATCACATCTATCACTTTTACAGCTGTCACCCATCACTTTCCCAGACTTTTGCATAAGGAAAATAATACAACACCAGGAAAACTGCACTAAAGGTAGAATTCTACTTTTCATGTCTTGGTTCATTATTGATACGTCATTTCTGAATCCTTATACCAAGAGCTCACAGATAAATTTTTCAGGAGTCTTGAACAGTTTCCTCCCCATACAACTTCTCTTTTCTAATAGGTCTTTAAAAGGTAATACTTAGAAAAAAACCCCAGTGTTTTCCTAAACACAATTTCCTTCTCTAACAATTAAGAAACATTTCAAGTCAATGAACACCTGAACTCCTCTATAATGAGGGTTGGGGTTCTTCTGACAGATATAAACCACAAAAATGCCCTTTGAATCTAATTAGTTTGCAAGGACTGCAAATCCTTCCAGTAGCAAATACTTTTTGCCTTACCTGGGCAACCTGGATTGGTACGCAGTGCTTTCTTGTAGTAGGCAAGGGCTCCTCTGTAATCTTTCTTGTTGAAAGAAATGCATGCTTTACCTGTTAGGGATAAATCAGAAGCAAAAACAAAGCAGTTATAAACCAGAAGCACAAGAACTATTCAGTAAATTGTACCAATTTTCAAAAGTTACAGCTAAAAACTAACAGAAAATTCAGACAACTACATCTTTGGTTATCTTTGATGATGTCAAGTATATGAAAAAAAAAAATCAAACTGGGAACACATTACATTTATGTTTCCTTTTTTTTTTTTTCCCCCAGAAACTTAATTCCTTCCTGGTCCAGAGGAAAGACACTTACTAAGACTAGTGAACAACTTAAATTACAAGTGTTACAGCCCACTGACCCCTCACCAGCAGTATGTTCACCCTCACCAGAGTGCACAGCTTCACTGGCATCATCAGGAAAGTATAAGTAGTTGGACTGTATGCCCACAAGTCTCAGAAGATGCCAGCTAACATTCCACTTTCTCCCAGCTCTTCCACCTATGCATGCTTCCCAAGTTTAAAGTAGCCTCTGTCACGTACTTCTGGTCACCTCCTGATCACATCCTCTCTACTCACATATGAGCCCTCTTAACTACATAATCCATTTCAAAACTCAACTCCAAAGATCAGGTTTTCACAAATACACACAAACTCATACCGAGAAGGGCAGGAATATTATTTGGAGACTGGTTGAGCACGAAGTGGAATTGTGCATCAGCTTGGTCCATCTTATCACCTTCAAGCAGACAAAAGCAGGCTCTTCCCAACAAGTGATTCTAATCAAGAAAAAAAATTTGCAATAAATTTATCTTTGTAAAATATGAAGTTTGGACTACAGGAAAGATTAACTGGCTATATTATAATGCTTTCTATGATTAATTGATTTCTCTTACATCAGCAGTAAAATAAAATAGAAAGGGTCTTTATCATCCCTTCTAAAGTTCACATATCACCAAGCAAAAGAGTAACAATAAATGCTTCTTTCCCAACCCCCAAGAGTTGACTGAAGTAGTTCTATCACGTGTCAAGCTAGAGATAATCATTCTTGGTGGCACCACACACATTTTAGATACTTACAAGTTTTGCTTACATGTACGACACTAAGACTTCAAAGCCTGAGCAGCTCCTATCTTCCCTTTAGTGAACCAACACTTGCTCTCTTTACAATAACTAAATAACTTACAAATATGGATTTTTAAGCAGATCCTGGGTTTACCTGATCGTACATGATGATTTTGTCAGCCATAGTGTACAGCAGGGTAGCCTGTGTAATGAGCTCCTTCTTGTTGTCTTTGTTCTTCTCCTTCCGAGCCTGCTGCACATAGTAGGCTGCCAGGGTGTCCAGACACGTCATCTGATCCTTCTCGTGGTCTCTGTAGTCCAAGTTGCCATCTATGCGCGCAGCTTCCAACAGCTTCACAAAGTCTTCTGTTTTCCCTTGCTTGTAGTATTCCAGCTACGAAACACACAGTTTTAACACACAATGCTACCCCAGCAAGCACATAACATATCAAGTGCATGCTTTAGGTGTCACACAGATTCTTCTTCCAGCATGTAGGGATAAAACAGATGTAAATGTAGGGATCATCAGAGGCATTCTGATAATGCCGAATATTTTTGTCACGGTATCATAGAATGGTTTGGGTTGGAAGGGATCATAAAGATTATCTACTTCCAACCCCTCTGCCATGGGCAGGGACATCTTTCACTGGATCAGGTTGCTCAGAGATCTGTCCAACCTGGCCTTGAACACTTCAAGGGATGGGGCATCCACAGCTTCTCTGGGCAATGTGTCCCAGTGACTCACCATCTTAAAACACCAGGTTGTGAGGCATTTATAAGTAAAGATTCCAATGGCTTTCCTCTGAACTTTTGTCTTTTTGCACATTTCACCACACTTTCCATAGTATAGACACTGCCCCCTCCTTTTTTATGAAGTGCATAACCAGAGGCACAAATCAGGAAAACTATTGACTGAAATATAAAAAAACAACTCAGAAAGCAAGCCTCAAGCAGCACTGCTTCATGAAAAAAGGATGAAATTAAGATCTTAATATGCATATGTCAAATCAGAAATATCAGGCTTCGAGTCAGTGACTGAATGATCCCATTAAGTTCCTGTTCAGGATTCAGTTATCACTGGTCATAAAAGCAAGGAAGTGGAAATTATTATTGTTATGTGAATATAACATTTAAATACACAATTTGTATAAATACTAACCGCTAAGGCAATCCATATGTGCAGCTGGGTGTGCTCCTGTTTCAGGATACTTATCACTTCATCACCCTCAGGCAGCTGATCGAAGTCAAGCTCGATAACCTAGAACCAAACAGTACAGATTAGCTTTTCACAAAACATTAATAAACATCCTCTATCACTGAGCTCAAAGGAAGCTGGACATTTCAGAGCACAAAACATAAATAATTGCTTGTGTTTAAACAAGGTTATGGACAAAGAAGGAAGAGATAAGGTAATGTATTCTGTACAAGACAAAAGCAACAGCCTCTCAGAAATAACACAGAAAAGACAACCCAATATTTGGAATACCAGTCAGGGAGAATAAGCAGAGATGCTAACACAACTTCTTTCACTATGGACTTGGCTTGGAATTTTTACAGTCCAGCTAATAACCAACTTGACTGCACACTGCTGAATTTCTAAAACTTTTCCTACAGGTAATACAAAAATCTAGGACAGAGTCAAAATATTCCAAGTTATCAGATGTCAGAGGGTCAATACTCAAGACTTATCTCAGAGTCCTGAAATTTCATAAAGTCCTCTTAATGCCCAAGGGAAGTAAGAGACTACTGAAACAACTAAATTTCTGAAAATTCACAACTGCAGTCATCATCAGTAAACAACATTAACTCTTCATCACGCAAAGATTATTTTGCAAGACTGTCTTCCCATGTTGATCTACTCTTCTGATATTAAAAAACTAGGAAAAAGGAACAGATATTGGGATATTTGGGAACACAATTTAACTGCCTGTTAGTTCACCTGCTACTCAGTCATGCTACCTTTAATATTAGTCATCTATGTTACAAGTCAATTTGACAGCCAGGGAGAGGTGCAGTTGTTGTACCCAGGCTTGTACCCTGATCACCAACGCAGGGACTCCTTCTCTTTAGGCTGAATTAAAGCAATCCAATTTATATGGGCTTATAGCTTTGCCTATGCAAGACTTTAGAGTACCAGCAAAAATATTTCTGCCACTACCCTTAATTTTAGTTTTGTCTTGCACAGTACCTCCTGTTTGAACAGATAATGATGTTTTCAAATTTGGGCAACACTCATCCATGAACTAATACAGTTATTAATGAGAAATAGGTATTACCAACTCAGCAAACACAAAATGGAAGTAAAAAAAAAGGGTGGGGGGAAGGAGAGTAGTATTTTAAAGCAATCTTTAGTGATTAATTCAAACTCCAGGATCTAAGCAGTCCCAGGCAGAACCTGAAGGGCAGCACCGTGATCAACTATTCATGTCAACACCTCACACAGAAATTTCTGTCACTGAAAAAAACTCCCTCCAATATGCAAAATCCATAAAGTACCTTTGTGAGACTTAAAAATTCAATGACAGTCACATGAAATTTTTTTTCTATATATACATATGACACATGTGCATACATGTATGTGTATATACATGTATATGTATGGTGTATATATAGATATATATAAAAAGATATATACAGACATATATATAAAAGAGCGTGGATGCATGTGTTCACAGAGAATATTCCTCAACCTGTAAGCAGTTATGTTTCAATAACTTCCTTAGCTACACTATTCACTTAGTATCTGATATGGACCGATTTAACTTCTAACTTTAGAACACCCTGGAAATTTCCAAAGATTTCGCTTAAATCTTTTTAACCTTGGCTTGGGACAGTGTATCGTAACTAAAGAAAACTTAAGTAAGTTTCTAAACCCACCCTGAAGTAACTTTACCCAGAGGACCCGCTGCCCTGCCTGTCTGAGGAGCGCCAAGCTGTTTACAAACAGTGCGGTCAGAAAAATCTGACAGAACAACCTACGGAGAGAATTCCCCTGGACACACACCTGCGGCCGCGGCACCTCAGGGAAAGCAGCGACACCGCCCCCCGACCCCCGCGGCACAACTACGAGGGGCAGCGCCCCGGCACGGACCACCCTTCCTCCCGCAGCCCCTCCCGCCGCCTCCCAGAGCCCGACTCGCCTCGTCGGTGTCCCGGAGCGGGATCTCGATGGAGCCCCGCGACATGTCGGCGACTGCTCTGCGGGGCCCGCCGGACCCTCCACACGCCGGGGCCGCCTCAAGCCGGGCCGGGGCCGCCGCCGCGCGCACTTCCCCTCACGGCACCGCCCGACCCGGACGTGCTCGGGGACGGGGCGGGGCGGCCGCGCCGGGCCCGCCTCCGCGGCGGCGTGAGGGGGAACCGGGGTGTTCTCCTTTCCCGTTCATGCACGCATCACGTACCTACCCATAGATATATCTATATTTATATAAAACACTGAAAGGCAGTGCCGCGTGTTTTTATTTGTCCTTGCAGCCGCTGGTCAATGGGGTAGATTTGCCTGGCTGCTCTCTCTGGTCTTGGGACCGCGACTCCCTCGCGGGCAACGCCTCCTCTCAGGATATTTTAAAATCGTTATAAATGTGCGGATTTTCCCCCATCTTCGTGGGAAAGCAGTGTGTAAATCCAAACAGATTTTTATCCGACTAGCTCAGCCGGTGTAATACTATTAAAACATATTTAAATTTTTCGGCCGCAGCACGGCCAACTATTTTCAAATTATCCAAGTGTTTCTTATTACAAATACTGAATCTGATAAAATCTAATAAGATGCTGAGCCCAGGCGCTGATCCTGTAGCCTGTTCTGTGTGAGGGATTCAGCCACAGGGAGGCGCAAAGTAAAGAAGAAATTTTAAGATTTGACTGCTCCTAAATTGTGTTTTTCCAATTATGGTGGCAGATGCATTGGTGTATTTGGATAAAACACAGCAAGCACAGTAACGTATGACCAGTCTTGGTTTTTTTCCAGCTACCAAGGCAAAAAAAAAAAAAAAAAGGATAGTAAGACTAAAGGATCGTCTGGCACATTTCTACTGAGGTGATTAAAAAAAAAATTAAATCTGTGACATTACTTACACAGCCTATTAAACCCTAAAGCAAACGATTTTGTCCTATAGCTAATTATCCACAGAATACAAAATTTCGAATGAGTCAATAGTCACAACTATAATGCATTATACTAGTAAATTTGATTTTAAAAATAGTTGCGAATTACTGTAATACTATGTATTACAGTAGCAATGACTAGATGACTTGCAGTGTCACCTGTTCTCTGAAGCCAAAGTAAGTAGTATTTTTAATTACTTAACATTTTGGATGTGAACTTTTGATTTTTATTTATGCACTAATTATTCTGAACTGAGTTAACCGGTCTGATACATTGTAACAATTATTTCTCCTACTCTTTGAGTAGATTTGTTCCATAAATGCTTTTTGTGGAGAAACTTTTGCATGTGGCAGGAAAGCTGAGTGACATTGAAATTAGTAGGAGTGTGCATTTTTTGCATTGGAAACATGCCAAAAACAATGTTATGCAGAGCAAGATGCTAATTAATAGAGTTTCTAAGCCTACTTCACTGATTTATAGGCTGATTTTTCAAAATAAGCTACTTTTTAGATATTGTTACTGATACTGAGGGTATTTGGACTGAAAAATCAGCCTGTTCCTGAGGTGTTTGCTCACCAGTGTCTGTAGTAAATTTGCTTTCCTCACAGACAGAAAACTAGTTTTAATTAAAGGTTTTATAGGGTTGGGCCTTAAGAATATTCAACCAAAGTTAAAGAGGAAAACAATTCTTGCTTCCTGCTATAAACCTAATAGAAATGTTTTAACGTGTTTAAAATTTTGTTACTATACTATGCAAACTATTGACTTAAATATTGCTTGAAGCTGGAAAAGTCCTTTTTTCCCCCATATGCACTGATAACAATAAATCACTATTGCTGTGTAGAACCTATTTCATGTATAAGATATTGTTCTAGTGGAAAGAGCTGCTTTTTTCACATTATGAGTGCTTAGGGACATTTCAAGACAAGAGGCTCGTTTTATCTTGCTGTCTTTTGTTTCTACTTCTTTGTATTTTATGATTATGGAAATTTAAATCACTACTTTTAAACTTGGATTGTTAACAATATCAGAAACACTTACGTAAGTAAAGTATCATACAGCAAATTGAACTTCCAGTTGTGATATGTTATATACAGTGACCGAGAAAGGAATCAACACTTTTACAGTGTAACTCTGAGTCCTGGGATGATCTTAAAGTGGCTCCTGGGCTCCAGGCAGGATACACCTCGTGGGGTTGGTCAGGGCATTTAGAACTTATTAATTAATTTAGGCCTTGACATGATGTGTATCTTGAAAAGATAGCAAGCAGGTTTAGTAAAATGCTGGGCTGGTTGGTTAAGAAAGTACTAAAAATGAACTTAATAGGTATATATATTTTTTTTTATTTGGTAGTTTAATATTGTGCTGACTCCAGAGGCTGTTGGATTAGCTGTGCATCTCAAACTTGTTCCTGTAAGGAGCTGGGATTTTCTGTCCTGCTGGTAAGGGATGCTGATGAAGGCTGTATCAAATGAATTTTGAGCAATGTTATAGGTACTCTTTTCCTACAAAACTAGCTCTTTTAATAAAACAATATGAAATCTAAAAAGACAGAGCTGTAAAAATGGATGGTCTTGACTGCTTTGTGTTAATGTTTCAGCGGGAGGTGTAGTGTTTTTGCAGACCATGAAACATTTTGTACAGCCGCTAAAACCTGCATAATTTTATTCTGCCGGAGTTGTTAATTTTTTTGTTGTTTTTCATGCTTCTTCACATGATTACGTTTGTCTTATTTATCTGATAAGCACAGTTGTGTCCTACTGAGTTAGTCACCTAAATCTACCGAATTGTTTTGCAAGCAAAGACTGAAAGAGATGTCTGTGATTGTGGTTTGCAAGCAAGTTGTGTGTTTGAAGATGGAGAGAGAAAAACTGAAGGGACATGAGACACACTTCATGCTTACCTGTCCCACTGACTTCTTTCTAATCCTCTTACCTGGCACAAACATTTCCTCTTTGCACAGGCCCGCTTCTATTCACTCTACCACTGATTATGGTTTGCTTGGGTTGCATAAAATGTAATGTCTCCATACTCAGGAATATTGCAGTGCTGAAATTATAGCTGCACTTCTTTTCAGTATCCTCCATGTGGGATGTAGGGAAATATTTCCATCTATTTTTTGATGAATACAGAACCTGGTCTGACCTCAGTATGCTTCATGGTTGGTTTTCAAAGGAGGATTTTTGTTGTTGTTGTTGTTGTTAGTTTTTGCACTGATAGCCTTCTACCTTCTGTGCGTTATACTTAACGTTGATTAGTAGGATAAAAGTGTGGTTTAAAAGAAATTAATCCCAGAAACATTACAATCCTTGGGTTTGCTTTGCTTTATAGAGTTTCTCTTGGAAAACTCCAGAGAGGCAGCTGTAGGATGCAGGAGAATTTCGTTCTGTTCTCTGTGGGGCTGGCCAGAAATGAATACTGCCATAAAAAGTTAACAGTACGAGTGCAGTTCTATAAAGTGAATTTTTTTATGCCTAAAACCTCACCAAGTTTCTGAACATGAAACTGTCGATGCAAGTGCGGTATCGCTATTGCCACCTTCTGGCGGCCGTTCACAGTCAGTATCCAGCGTTCTCGTTGCAGAGGACTTGGACTTCCTCTGCGGAGTTCAGTATTTTATCTGGTTACAGCTCTGCATTTTCCTGTCTCTTGGGCTTCAGTGTGTTTCAAGATGTAAAAAAAACTTGTTCCAGGAAACTATAATCGATAAATACTGAATTGTTAAATGATAAATTTTATTTGAATTATAGACATATCATATGCAAAAAGGGTGATTTTTCCCCTCCCTTCTCTTCTTGGTGATGGCTTTTTCAGGGATTATGCAATAGCATTACAGGTTTAAAATGCATGTCAGCAATTAATAGGACAAGTGAGGATTATACAAAAGACTGTAGAGGGATCAGATGACATTGTAGTGCTGTAATGTAAAGAATGAAAGTATCACTAATTTTTAGCATAGAACATTTGCTAGGAAGACCTAGTGGCTTTAAGACTTTAAACAGATTTACACCTAAAGAGATATATCAATTTTTTATTAGCTTATTTATTCTGAACTTCACAAATTTTGCCATTGTGTATTCTGTCTCTTTTAAAAATATTTAGTTTACAAAAGCTTGCACTTGATCAGAGCAAAACTTTTAAAAAGAAACCAGAAGTTTGGGGTGGAGACTACGCTGACTATTCCTTGCCAAAGCTTTCTTCCAGGAGGACTCCTGAGTTCTGACACCACGTTCTTTGAAATGAAATTGCACAACCCATTTCTGAACACATTAAATCACATTAATGCTGGAATGGAGATATTGGTAACTAACCCAAGAACATTGAGATCTCCATCATCCTCTAGTCTTTTTGATAAAATTATTTTTCATAAACTCCTCATTTTGACAGGTACTTCAACATAAAATATTGTTATGTAATAATGACAGTTGTTTTTCATAAAATGCTTATAATAAAATATACTTTCTCTATTCAATGGAATGTTATTGTATCCTGAAAATTGAAGGTAAAAAAGACTACAGAATAGGTACAGAGATTAATGTCTTCTGATACTATAGTGGTACTTTTTAAAATATTATGAAAGTAGCAGAGGAACCATCTTATTTAAAATATCTCCTTCTTGCATTATATGCCTGTTCAAACAATTCTTTTCATTCTGAAACCTGTGCATGTTCTCTAAAACCCAAGTTTTTAACAGAAAGTTTAAGGAAAGGAAAACACATTATACAAGCAAGGACTTGAGTGCAGAAGTCAGTTCCAAAAATAACAATGAACACTTGTGCTGAAATTCTCAGGAAGGATGAAGCCTGAGAATCAGCCTGAAGATGAAGAAAACTTTTGGGAATATGTCAACAAATCTTTCTCTGTTTCCTGGCAGTGACTGGTTGTTCTCAACATCCTTTTCATTAATGTGATTTATCATATAAACTATATACTGACTTCTATACATAGAATGAAATAGAAAAAACAGTTGATTTTCATGTATCTAACATCCATAGTTCCTTCTCTGAGTATTTACTTTTCTTCTATATCTCCATTATTTTTTTTCTTTTACAGAACCCTTTCCACTTCTGTTTCAGCACTAAAGGTGACAATGTTTAAACAGATCAATGCCCTTACTTTTTGTGGGCAGAGCTCTGTCCTGTCAGATGAGATCTGAATGATCTGTTCAATAGCCTGTGAATGCAGGTACCTGCTGATCTAGATAAAAAAAAAATTTAAAAAGTAATATAAATCTGGTTTGCATCACACAGAAATCTTCTGAAAACGTAAAGCCTATTTCTAATGTGCTTGAAAAGATGGAGAGCAAGATCCCATGTCTGCATGAGCACAAGGATGAATGGCATGGATTTTGCAGAACCTGGGTATGATTTATATTTTAATTCATCAATACCTTGGAGTTCTTGCCTGTGTAGATGTTCTGAAGACGTAAAGTTGAAGGTGTAAACAGGGGACCCAAGTTTGGAAGTTTCCATCTTGTGTTGATTTCTGAAAACTGTATTTTTAATATTTTTCCGAGTAAACCTTTAAAGCTGTTAAAAGCTTATTTCATAACCTTTTTAAGATCAATTTTTTAAAGGAGGAATGGCAAAATAAATATTTGTATTTTGAAATAAAGTATATGTACACACATAGCCATATATATTTCCCCGTCCTTGCACATGTGTTCATTAAATACAATGTATAACATTTTATACTGTACTGTGTAATACATTATGTATGCATTTAAAATAAGAAACTGTAAGTAGCCTTGCTCTTTTGTCTGTTTACATATTCATGAATTTAGATTTCATGGGTGTTTTCTTTGATCTTAATAGAAGCACTGCTAAAATACATAGATACAGGTTGACTAATATTTACTCACAACCACAGCATTAATTATCAGAGATGCTGGGATTTTATTAAGGTTTACTTTATGTTCTCATCCGTGTATTTATTTAGAATTTTGCTCTCCCCCCCACAGTGTTTCATGAATATCTCTTACTTTCTAGATAGAAGTCATTAATTTTTGTTGGACACACTAAGAACTTCCGGTCCTGGGGGAAAGGAAATAAATCTTTATGTGGGAAAGAAAAATAGTCATTTTAATTTTTTTCCCACTCAAGATGGAAACTATAATTCTATTGGGTCTAAATTACTAGTTGTAAAGTAGGTATATTATGTGTAATTTATTTCATCCCACGAGGAAAAAGTGCACTTTTAAAACTCGACCTTTATGCCAACGATTCTATGTCCTGTCTTTAAATGCATCTTTCTATTAATAATGCAAAACACCTTATTTTTTTACCATCTTACATTGTGGATGGAAAACATAAATCAGACTACTTTAAAATTCCAGTGCAATAGCACAATGTGTATCTATTCATTTATTTAAGAAATGTCTGTTCTGTGTTTCTGTCTAGCGCATGATGTGTTTATATCCACATTCTTCTTAGAAGGCCAGGGACATTTTGTTCAGTGATTTGAGAAGTGATGTGGATGGATGCCATACTTGAAGCCTGTTTTCATATCTCCCATCAACACGTAACTCAAGTTTACAATTAACTTGAGCCATGCAAGTAGAGCCATTGATCCTTGATGAGGCATAAGCCCAGCTATCTTCTTGAATTAAGGCCTCAGATTGGAAGAGAACCAATAAATGTTATCAGGCAGAAGCAAATGTTATTTTAAGATGCAAGGAGGTATTCTAAGCACTGGTTCCCTAGATAATTTGGAACCTATTTCCATGTATTGCTCTGAGAATATCTTCTTGCTCAGCTTCTAAACCATGTGGCAAGTGAATAACTATTCGTTTAAAAGTAATTTAACTGAAGGAGTACCTGTTAACTGGAACATCCCATAAGCAGGTAGTAACACTTAGAAAGCAGAAAAAAATGTACAGTTGTAAATTTTCAGGCCTCCCTTCTGCCTTCTCAAGGCATCTTCTAAAATTGGTATTCCCTGATAAGTCCAGGTGGTTATACTGGGAGATACTGGACTTAGTATTCTCAACCTCAGTTGTTAATGGAATCTAGGCTACAGTTCACAGCAGTAGCAAACTGCTGCACCAGAAATACTGTATTGTGAACTACCTGGAAGTTCTTGGGTTTGCACATTAATAGAAGAATATCTGTCGTCATTAAAGTGAGTGACACTGAATAGTGTAAGGAATTAAATTGGTCTCTCTCAGTAAGATGCATATGGATGTCTGCCTGGAGTTCTGAGCTGATTTCATTTGCCAAAGAGCAGTCTGCTGCTGTTAGTGCCTTGTAGTCCTCTGCTGCTGGAATTGCCATCCATGATGTTTATAAATAAGACTGTTTCTATCTGCAGGCTCAGCCTGGGATGTAAAGTCAAGTTGTGTTTTTTCCAGCTTGCACATCACCACCAATAGAGCTACTGCTGGAACTCAGTCAAGAATTCTGTTGATTGAGAAGCCAGTAAAGAAACTCACAGAACTATGTTGCCTCTGCAAGTATGAGTAAAAGTTTATTTATATCAGTCAAGTGACTATGCATGCTCCCAGATCAGACCATTCAAATGAAGGAAGGTGCAACTTTCACAAATTACTCCTTCTGATTGTTATCTCACTGGATAAAGAGGGGCTCTCATTTGCACCTTGGCAGATTATGTTGCAATTTCAGTGGTCCATGTGTGGTAATTCATAATGTGCTGGAAACACAAAACTTGTAAGAGAAACACCTTTAACTAGTTTATAACTAAATATTGTTCAGGCATAATTCCTTTGTGTTAATCAAAGGTAATAAAACTTAAGTACCAAACTAGGCAACTCACGTAGGCAAAATTGGTAGACATAGTACAGCTGACAGCTGTGTGACTCAAGTCTGGAGGAACAGGTATGTGTGCCTCAGATTCTCACACTTTTAGTCAGATGTCCCTCTAATATTGAGCCATTTTTTAAGATTGACAAGGGTGGTTGTGTTTTCTAATGTAATATTAAAAATACAGGTTTCTTTCTTAGTTCAGCAGTGCCATTTTGTGCAGAAGCTGTACCTAAGGAATGCAGTACTGATATTAGTCTGTCTGAAACTGTAGTGATGGAAACCTTTCAAGCCTTGTGGGGATCAGCTTCATTGCTTAACTTTGCTCTTAGAGTTTCTCAGGAAGTTTAGCCTGAATTTCCCTCACTGTTGTGTCCCATTCAGTAATACATAGAAAAAGATGGGGTTTTACCTTTCTTTAGGGTAATTTGTGTTTTCCATGAGCATGTAAACAGAGCAGTCTGGTTCTTTCTAAAGAGATGCTGTTTATGAAAGACATTTATACACCATGAAGGAGATGTGAAATCCTTTGAATTCATACACATGTGATTGGTAATATAACTTCTACAAACTTTTTTCCTAATATCTTAACTCTACTATGAAGATATTTGTACTACTTGCCCCTAGGAAAGTTCAATCATGGTGATTGCTAATAGGCTGGGGAACACAGGCAGTTTAGTAGGAACTCTTGCTGGCCATTGAGGCTATAGGAATACAAAAGAAAAAACTAGCACACAAATTTAGCTGTGATACATCTAAAATAAGACAAAACACTTCTGCATGACCCTTCAAAGCTTGGACAGTAGTGTAAGATTTGGAAAAAAGAATGGTTTTACTTAGTACTTGAATTTAAGTAGACTGAAAATTTTGAAGGGAAAGCTTTGACTTCCTTTTGCAAAGCTTTATAGCAGTTTTAATGAAGTTTAATTCTCATACAACTGAGAAACTTTTTAAATAGCCAGTCACAATCCTGACAAGCGTTTGGAGAAGCTGGCTTTCTTTGTGTGTTGTAATGTTTGTTTTGTACATACATCCATTTTAAGTGTGTCTTAAAAGCAGTTTTGATGTTGTCCTCCTAAGCAGAACCTGCCAAGAGTTTACACCAAATTACACCAAAATCCTTTTTACTAAAGATAATAATAAGTTTACTAAGTTATTTGCTCTATCACTTGCACAATTTTGTGTATGTAAAACTATAGGTCAGGCAGCTGAAGGTGAATGGTTGCTAATTCTGATCCCTCTGATCTTCCAGGTTTGAGAGGTTTTTCCAACATACCCTTTTCAATCTCCTCCTTTAAGTCACCTCCATGGAACTGCTATTGTTGTAGGAGGGAAGGCTGATAGTTCTTTTTGGAGGTTTTCACATGTTCTGGACAGAGCTGTTCTGTGGCTCTGAAGGCTGTTGTGAAGTATCCTAAATTTTCATGGCTTGAGGGAGATGAGGCCTGCTTTGACTTTAAATATGTATACACTCTCCAAAATGACCTGATAAAGGTATTGATCACTTACATTCTGTGCCCTTACCCTGCACATTCATCCTGCACTGATTGAATGTGAGACAAGAACATTCTGCAATTGTTTCCTTCCTTCATTTGCAGGAGAACTGTTAACACATTCTCATAACATACTCTCACAATTTTTCCATGCAAATAATCAAGCACGATAAACATCAGCAGAGGGCACTATTGAGGTATAAATAGAATAATAATAAATTGAAATAATAAAAAAAAAAGGTGTTGCCATGTGTTTTCAGTTTTCATTCATAAAATCACAGCATAATTTACAATAAAAGGGGCTCTGGAGGTCATCAGGTCAATCCTTGCCTCAGAGAGCCAAATTGAAACTTAAATACAATTACTGTGGCCATGGTAATGTGTCTACATTTTTGGATAATCTGTAACAACCTGCAATCAGATTAGTTTTTTCTCCAAACCATTTTTGTATTCAGTTGTGAGACTGGATGCAAAAAATGCCCAGAGCTGAAGTGTAGTTATTTTGTATGAAGAATTCTAGAAGAAAAAGGTTTAACCATTTTTGTTTCCGAAGTCAGTAAATAGTATTTTTTAACAATTACTCATCAACTTTAATAATAATAATAGACAAGCATGAAAAAAAAATAAAAAATAGTCCTAAGAGTATCTTGTTACTTCTGTAAGACAAGATTGACCAGCATGGTAATATCAATGTAGCTGCTGTTGGAGCAACATGATATTGTTGGTTTGTGGGGTTTTTAAAGTATGGTTTCTACAGTATTTGCTACTCAATAGTATGATTTTCTTTTTTTCTAACACTCTTGTTGGAGAGCTGAAGTAGATAACAACAGGAAGAATTTTAACAAATGAATACTGATCTCATGTTTTAAAACTTTGAAGATGTGCTGTATTGAACATGTGGACAGAATTATAGAAAGCAGAGGCTTCTCCAAATCAGTGAGTTTTATTAAGGAAATTTTTTTCTTTTTTTAATATAAACACAGCCCTAGCCTGTCATCATTATTTGAATTAATTCCAGTTCCTTTTTTCAATCTGCTTGCTTATATTAGCTAAAATTTTATTGGCTAAAATGGTAAACTGTTGAATTTTGTAGGATACAGCATTTTCCTTTAGCTCATCCAATTCTGCAATGCTTTTCAAGAGCATATTTGAGACAAAAGTGCAGAAGTCTGAGCTGTGGAACGAATGCCTGTTTTAAAATACCAAACACAATGCTATGTCAGGGAGTTTACTGACACTCATGTCACATGAAAGAACTTCTGATATTTGCTTAAACCACTTGCATGCACTAATTATTTGTATAATTGACTTCAGACAAATGTTTTACTACTGCCTTCAATCTGAGGAGCAACGTTGTTACTCTCAGTGCCTAGTTTTCAACATTTTTTTGATTGGCACACTGTTAGTTACAATGTTTATGCAGACAAAATATTTGTGATTTTACATATTAAATAGAAATACTAAAAAGGAGAACATCTTTTTAAATTCTCTTTTTGCTCCTAGAAAAGTGAGTGTTGTTAAGTCACTCTTACAAGTAATACATTTGCCTACCTCTGTGGCCGGCAAACTGAAACAACTGGTGAAGACATCATTGGCCTCTTAAAAGCACTTCCCCCTCTCAGTTGAGTCAACTATATTTGAAAGCTGTTTAGCTTTCAAATTCTGGCTCCTCTCAGATGGTGAGCTACCCCTTTAACATAAGCAGTGGGTTTAGTTAAATGTCAGTTTAGATCCCTGGCAGCCCTCCAAATAAATTAGTTCTAACCAGCTCAGGCAAATGGCCCCATGAGCCACGTGCAGCCTGCAGTGTTGCTGTGCACATCCCCTCGTGAGACCAAACACCAGCTGCTGTGGGATTCAGTGGAGGCTGAAGGTGCTGTGGGGCCCTAAGGTGGAACTGTTCTGTTCTCAGTACCCAGCAGAGCTTGGCTGTGGCACTTGTTTGGTTGGGATCAGAACCTTGGCAGGAATCCTGTGATGTTTTATAAGTGTGGTTGCACTGCTTCCAGACCCGCACGGCTCGGGTGGGGCAGGTTGCAGATCAGCTCTGTGCTCTCCGGTGTCGCTGCTTCCTGGAGCACCAGGAGAAGGCTCTTTGTGCCACTGTTGAATTATCCCATTGGTGTAACAGTTGGAGGCCGGTCCAAATGAGCAGGCAATATATTTTGATCACTAATAAGAAGCTTTTGACTTTGATGGATAGGAATGTTTGCAATGTGGGAACAATATAAAGTCAGAAAACGTACTCACAATTAGTATAGTATTTAAAAAAAACCAAACAACATTTTAAAAAAATTTTAAATATTCCTAGTTTCAAAATGTTGAAGTTCTCTTTATTTTTTGTTTAGGTAACATCAGCAAAGCTTTTTTTTTTCCTGTTTGATTTCAATGTTGATTTTATACTGAACATGCAGCTGAGTAACACTAGCTGTGGAACAGAGGTAGGGATAAATATCTGTGAAGGTAATGTGATAGTTGGGTGTGTTGGAAGATGATGGCATGAAGGAGGGGAAGTATTTGTGTAGTGAGTTTTAAATGGCATACAGCGTGAAAGAATTGGGGCCATGCAAGGCACAGAAGGAGAAAAAAACCAGTTTAGGACAACTGCTAATGACACTATCTTTTCTGAGTACTGGCTGGGCTTTAAACAACAAAAAATTCACAACCTGGCAGTCCCAGCAGTGCAAATGTGGGAAGGGCCCCTACCGAAAACTTGTGTATCTCCTGAAGAAAATGTAGCTCAAAAGGAATCTCAGGGACAATTATAAGGGGCTGACCAAACCTTAACAACGTGCAAGTTATGAATGGCCTTTGTTTAAATGGTTGCTCCTAACTGCCGAGGCACAGCGGTGACCACCACTGTAAACAACACACATCAGCACTCCTGCTGGCAGTCCTTGCAGTGAGTGTCGGGAGGGCCCTTGGTGGAAAGGAAAGCAAGGTCATGCATTGTATCATCCAGGAACTGGAAGGAGTTGAGAGACGTGAAATCATGTGGGAAAGCAGCTGAATTACACCTGATCTACTGCAAAGGCACATATTCCTGGTGCTTCTCAGAGGCAGGGACTAAACTTACGAAAGAACAACTAATGATTTTAGTCATGACCGTGTGAAATCAGTGTTACTGTGGGTGATTAAAATCAAGCACGCAGCACTACGGATCCCTCATGTAACATCCTGTCTTTGGTGTTCCTCTTCCTCCCCCCACCCCAAACCCCAGCACAATGCCCTCAAATGGTGTTGTACTTGCATAATGAGATTCTGGTTTGTGTACTTTTTGAAAAGATATTTTAAAATTGCACATCATTGTCTTTTTGGTGACAAATTTTACTTCAGCTTTTGTAGCAAATCATAGTGAGAGTTTTGTATTTTTTTTTCTGTTATCTTAATATTTTCAAGTTGCAATTCTTTTGGTGACTTTTCCAAGAGGATGACCAATTGCTCTCTTGCTTAGTTTATATTCTGTTGCTATTCTAATGAGATGAGTGAAGAGAAGAGGATATTGTTTATTTTTACTTTCCTCTGTAGGGCTTTGCTTTGTGACACTTCTCTGTGAAATTATCCATATGTTTCCTTAGTAGTTTTCAAGGAAGACTTAATGTCACTATTGTACAGAAAATGATGACATGCAAGGTGCTGCTCTTCTTCTGGCAATCTCGATTTTGTTCCAAAAATTTTGTTTAAAATAAAATCAGTGGGATTTACTGCCAAGGATGTTTAAATGCTTCTTACATTGTGGAACAAGTTAGAGTTAATTGAAAATCCTTCATTTCCCCAAATTTATTCTGAACCTCTGTAGAAAAAAAGAAAGAGTGGTGGAAGGAAATTTCTTATAAATACTTGCAGGGGCACTTATAAGTTTCTTGAATTCCTGGAATTGAAAGCAACTGTATGTATGTAGTGCATCCTCCCAAATCCAGGTAGCTAATTCTCTACAGTAATCTTTCTGAAAGTAAACAGATTAGATCAGTGTGTCTCATAAGAGAAGCTTTATGAGGCTGCTCTGTTTCTGATCTGCAAACACAATTGGTAGGAATTCCCCACTTGTTTTGGAAATACTGACACTGGCAAACCTATGGGTTTTTAACTAGGGAAATGTAGACAGAGCAACTGTGTAAAGAAAGGAAACAAGCCTTTTGCCTTTCATTCATTCAACTGTTTTTAAGAAATGGTAAATTACCTTAATAGCTCTATTTCCAAAAGGGAGGAGGTGTGTCTGTACTTGGGTCTGTCCCAGTGGTCTTCTGAGCTTGGTTAAGGTTTGTAAATTCTACTGTGTTCTTGGAGTCAAGTTCTTGCCCAGTAACTCAGCTCACGGATACTTAATGGCATTTTTTGCAACACTGCAAGCAGGAATGGAGATTTAGTACTGAGCAGGTGGTAGAGCACTGAGGAATAGTTGTCAAGTTGATATTCTTCAAGTTGTATTCATATTTTTAAAGTTGTATTCTTTTTTTTTATTACTGAGGTTCTGTAAACAGGGAAAAAAGCCCCAAACCCTGAAATTATGTAGAGGTTAAATGTCTGGGTGGTAGATGTGTAATTAGAGAAGTGGGCAATGGCTGCCCTACCTTGTTGTGTGGCAGTAAGATTGGATTTTGAGGACTACTGATAGCCATGTCAATTGTTATGTTTTTTTCTAGCATTTTCTCATGTCTGTGTTTGAAGACTTGGAAGGAACAGCAATTCAAGGACCCTTAAGCGAGTATTGTATCTCAGCTTGGCAGTTCAAAACCATAAACCTTCAAAGGCCAATGCTTACTTGTGAGGAAGACAGGATCATGCTCAGCTAGTACTTCAGCCTGCTAACTCATTTAGGTATGTTTTCTGCTAGTGCAGTAAATTTGCTCCTCCTGTTTAATATCTTTATTGATAATCTGGATGAGGGGATCAGGGGCACCCTCAGTCAGGTTGTAGATGACACCATGCTGGGTGGAAGCATTAATGTGCTGGAAGGTAGGAAGCTCTGCAGAGGGGTCTGGAGAGGCTGGATTAATGGGCTGAGGCCAATTGTAGGAGGTTCAACAAGGCCAAGTGCTGGGTCCTGCATGTGGGTTACAACAACCCCCTGCAGTGCTACAGGCTGGGGAAAGAGGGGCTGGAAAGTGGCCCAGAGGAAAAGGACCTGGGAGTTCTGTTTGACAGATGGCTGACCATGAGCCAGCTGTGTGCCCAGGTGGCCAGGAAGGCCAGTGGAATCCTGGCTTGGATCAGGAATAGTGTGGCCAGCAGGAGCAGGGCAGTGATTGTCCCCCTGTACTTGGCACTGGGGGGCCACACGTCGAGCCCTGTGTCCAGTTTTGGATACAAGACACTGAGGTGCTGGAGCAAGTCTAGAGAAAAGCAACAGAGCTGGTGAAGGGTCTAGAGAGGAAGTCCTGCAAGGAGCAGCCAAGGGAGCTGAGGATGTTTAGGAGGCTCAGGGGAGACCTTGTCACTCTCTACAACTCCCTGAAAGGAGGTTTTAGTAAGGAGTAAGGTGGGGTCGCCCTCTTCTTCCAGGTAACAAGTTACAGGACAAGAGTAAACAGCCTCAAGCTGCACCAGGAGAGGTTCAGGCTGGACATAGCAGGAATTCCTACACAGAAAGGGTTGTTAAGCTTTGGAACGGGCTGTCCAGGGAGGTGGTGGGGTCACCATCTCTGGAGGTGTTCAAGAAAAGACTGGCTGTGGTACTGAGTGCTCTGGTCTAGTTGACACAGTGGTGTTCAGTCAAGGGTTGTACCTGATGGTCTTGGAGGTCTTTTCCAACCTTAGCAATTCTGTGATTCTGTGCCCTGTACAGTGGGTGCTCTGTGTGGCAACACAACATCCATGTGTAATGCAAAGGGTCAATATTTTGGAGGCAAGATTAGGAATACAAGATGCTTTTACAGTAAGAAAAGGGCTTACATGGGATTTAAATGCTGTGAACTGTATGGCAACTTCCTGCAGCCCCTAAAAATTTAAATGCAGACATGAGCTAAGTTGGATGCACCATGAGCAGCAGGGCCAATGTTGTCTTGCTGTGACTACAAAAATAGAAAGGTTTTTATTACCATATTCACAAACTTTTGTGAACTTTATATATAGAGTTATTGCATACAATGTTATATGCAGAGCTGCAAGAAAACAGTGTATTTGTTTGAAAAATACAAACGTACTACTGTGCAAACAAAGGGGGGAAAAACCACCTGGAAATGGATGAAATTCTATGCTGAAAGTTTAGATGTTGCACTTTCTTGTTATGCTTATGAAATGCTAAGCAGTTTGTTAAATCTGTTTCTAAATGTCAGACTTCTGAGGGTGGCTTTGAGCCAAGGCCTGTGCGGGAGGGTGGGAAGTGACAGGCAGCTGGTTCCACTGGCAGGAAGCTGGAGCCAGGAGCATGGAATACAGAGTGTAGTGGCATCTGTTGTGGTGTTTGTCTGGACCATGTTTACTCCCTCATTAGGTCAGGTCTGACTGTGGTTTAAGAAATACTGCTTCTTAAAATGGCTTTGTCTCCCAGATGCAGAAGGCTTGAAAGAAAGGGGCAACAAATCAGTAGCACAGACAGACTTTTCTGAAGAGGAGTGGGAGGGGGAGTCTGGTTTGTTGTGGGCAGGCAAAACACTGGGAAATCCTCATATGCATGAGTGATGGAGGTGGGGAGGAAAAGCCTCCCACAGAAGGAAAGCTTTGGGCACGGAGCTGGTGGTGGAGCCAATTTTATGGTTGATCCAAAACTGGCTCCCTTTGCTGTTGTTTTATAGTGGTCACATGTGTTTGGGGAGCTGAAGACTTAAGTTTTAGAATTTTAGGCCTAGAAATTCTAGGATTTTGTTCTTGTAGACTTTATGCTTCCATGAAAGCAATTGGATGCAAATGTTTGCTTGTGGCAGACTTCGTGCCCCATGTTACATCTTAAAAATCAATGGAAATATGTTTGGGAACTGTCTGATTGTTGGGTTTTGTGGTGGTTTTTTCACTGTATTTTTTTTAATTGGATGTGCAGAAAGAGCTGGGATGTTGAAGGTTTGCTTTTGAGCTGTTATTCTCTAGGGAGTGATCTAGTATTACAGATCACAGTGAAAAGCAGTTTCAAGGTGTTTACATATAAATGAAATTGTTTTCAAACATATTGAGGTGTGACTTACAAGACCAAAAAGTTATGACAGCACACAATGAAAAATGGTAGTGCTTTTATGAAAGCTTAAGGCCAGGCAAACTTATTGAAACTTTACAAAAAGAAGCTTTCAGCAATTATGTCTTACTAGACTGATACATGTAAAAAGAGAAGGCTTTCAGAGACCAAGGGAAGTGCTGGTGTGCCTGAAGGCTCATCTGTGTTCCTCTAACTTATCATTTAGTGTAATAAAATATCTTCTGTATAGGAAATAGAAACTGGGGCAGTTACAAGTCCAAAACACCAGCAAGTCTAGTAAAGCTGACTGGTCTCTGTGGGATAAAACGTTTAGAATTGTCATTAATCACAGAATCATAGGATGGTTTGAGTTGGAAGGGACCTTAAATATAATCTCATTCCAAGGCCCAGGAATGATATTTGTCAGACAAGGATTTTAAGATGACAAGACTGAACACACAAGTACCTTGAGTGCAGCACGGATAGAACACTATCTGTGGGCAGCTGTGTGGGTGAAGCAGCAGATGCTCAGAGGATAAGCTGTTTACCACAGTAGCAACTTACAGTATCATTAAGTGAAATATATAGAGAAGTAGAACTACAACTGAGAAGTTCTGAAGATTGTTGCTTTCCAAGCACTACATGGGCACATTTAAGGCATCAGTTTATCCATTTATAAGCTTCTGTCACCTTCTGTGTACACTGTGTGACTTAACCACTGTAACACTCCAAGAGAAAGAAGTAACTTTTAAAATCATAATTAACATACAAGTCTGGTCCTTTGACTGGTTTTGATTGTCATTTTCCTCTTGCTGGGTAGTCATCAGTGGTTTAATTATCATAATTAAAAACAAACAAAACCCAAAACAAACCAAAAACCACACACACACACACACACACAAAAACCTAAAATTTTGAAAACATTGCAATAAAATTAAATTTTATTTTTTCCCTTTTTTTTTTTGATCAAGACAGTTTTTAAAGCTTTCACATTAAACTCACTTGTTTAGAGTTAAAGCTAAGTTTTAGTAATCTAAGCGTTTGTAAATGAAGGATTTCATGATGGGATAAGTAAACACATTTAAATATTGTCATGCTTTGCTATCTTCCCTGCCACTGCTGCCTCCCCTCCTCCCACCCCGTACATAGACTTCCTGACACTTCCACTTAGCAGGATCCTAGTAAATGAGCCAGAAGAGCTTTGCCTTGGCACACCTCTGTTGGCTGCATTTGGAATTCAGTGATGAAACCCAGAGGGGAAACGGAACCACAAGAGTTCAACAGTCTGGTACTAGTGCTGCAAAGCATCAGATGTGTAAGGAATCCTACTATTCCTGAGACAGCTCTTTCCTGAGAATTTGGGGGCAGGGGAAAGGCATGTTATGTGGTTGGTTTTCTTGGTTTGATTCTTCTTTTTTTTTTAAAAGTCTGAGTTTGAACTACAAAATCTGTAGCACCTTCAAACCTGAGCTCATGTAACTAAAACAGCAGTGTAAGGGTTTGTCTGTGTATCAAACTAGGGGAGAAAGACAAAAATTATAATGGGATAGGATTTTGGAAATCAGGTGCTGTTATTTTATGGCAAAGAAGAGGAGTTTTTTTAGTTGGGTTTTGTTTACTTTGTGTGTTTAGGTTTTTTTTTGTTATTGCATAGATATTTTTGTTGGGTTTGTTTTCCCAGAAGGGAAAATTATACCTGTGTTTTCTTACCATTTAACAGACTAATATTTCTCCTGTTTGTAACTATCATGGGATGAATATTTGTGCACTACAGTCTTGTTACAGCAAGTGTAACAAAAATCCAGAGTGATGACAATGGTATTTGGTATTACAGCCAGTCTATTTGTAGCTGATAAAACACATTTTTACACTTATGTTTTAGTTATCCTCTCACAGACTCCTTAACATGACACATATGTGCTTGTAATTTTCTGGAGGAGGCAGTTTGATAGATAATAACCATCTCAAGCAGCAAAGGGAGAAACTTAATCCACTGTTTAACTACGCTGACTTTTTTTTTATGAGGAGAAAATGAGTCATAACTGAGGCAGGGGAAGAATAAGATAAATAAAAGCTGCCCACAATAGCTAATAATAATTACAAAAAGTACTATGCTGATCTTGGGATCTGGCAGCTGAGAATAATACGTTTAATAGCAACATTCCTTGGTAACTTGGTGAGAATGAATGTCAAAATATTTAATTGGGAATGCAGGCATTCCTTCCTGTAACAGGCATCTTGGAAGACCTCCTTTTTTCAGTGAGCTGTGCATAAAGCTGTGAACAGGACAGTAATGTTCGTGTCATCAGTCACTTGGGGCTCCATCCAGCTCTCACTAAAATCACTGACAAAATTCTTACTGATGTCACTGAAGTGGATGGGACCTCAGATCGTGTCTGTGAAGGGGGATAACACTTCCTTTCTTTTTTCCTGTCAAGTCTGAGTAGTCTCACCTACATCTGAAAATGTAAGTTATGAAATTTCTAAGTTCTAGGCACCATTATTTTTCCATTTGAACTTCCCTCCACATAAATTTATTGCTTTTATCTTAATTTCATACAATGTTAGTGTTTAGTAGTGAAAACTGGTTATTTACTTTCAAAGGGCAGTGCCAAAAGGGATAAATTTATTAAGATATACTTGCTCTTTCCTGTTGTGGCACATAAAATAATCATAACAATGTTTTTGATGAAACAGTATTGTTAGGACAGCT